ACCAGCATTAATAAAACCAAACATATAGAATGATGTTCTTAATATTATTTTAATAAAATTCCTTTTAAATAGGAGTAAACTGAACAAAGATGAAACATTAGGAAATGTTTTAGCAAGAGGTTTTAGATATTTTTTAAGCAAAAGAATAATCTTACACACAAGGGAAAGGGAATATTGTGTTCTTCTATTAAGATACAGTGTTGGGGACTGTTAGTTCCTTCCAGTATGGGAATAATGACTGGCAGTTAGAATAGGAACCAATAAAAAGCAAACTAAATGGGGAAGTGTTGGAGGCGGGGGGAAAGAATCGTACATGAAATACAGTCAAAGGCTCTCCTCTGACCTTGGTTCCTAAAAGGGTTCTCAGGCTACAGGAAGGTACACTGCATTTTCTATGTCCATCTTTACCCCAAAGAGCTATGAGGGTCCTTACCTTTGGAAATAGCTTTCTAAGGATATCCCAAATTTCTTACAGAAGAAACTACTTTATTCATGTATTTATTCATTTATTTGCTTATTTATGAGTTTGTTCATCTCCTTCATTCATTTCACTAAAATGTAAGCTTCATCAGGTAAAACATTTTTCTGTTTGTTCACCTAGAATAGTACCTGCCACATAGTAGGTGCTCAATGAATATTTATGATTTTTTGAGCTAATTCATCCTTTCATCCTCAAAAGTTGATGAAATGCCTACCACATGACAGGTTCTAGATATCCAATATGAAAAAGAAATTCCACTATAAATAAAATAAAACCAACTGATGAGAATCTTCAAATTAGAGGAATCAAGCAATGTTTTCTCATTCTAAATTTTGGTCTGAATTTAAACTAGGAAGATAATCCCCTGCCCTGCCCAAGAAGAATGGGAGGGAAAAAATGTAGACCAGTATGGCACATGTCCCAAAATTATATAACACAAAACAAAACCCTGTTTAAAAATGAAACAGCTGGGTGTAGCTATCAAAAGGTAGGGATCTTTTCAGTGATAGAACAGTTCTATATCTTGACTGTGCCAGTGACTACACAAATTTATATCCATGTTGAAATTGCATATAACTAGATACACACACACACGAGTGCATGTAAAACCAGAGAAATCTTAATAAAGTTGGTAAATTGTATTTCCTGGTGTGATATTGTGCTATAATTACGCAAGATGTTACCACTGAGGAAAATGATTTCTTATAACAGCATACGAATCTACAATTACTTAAAAATAGGTTAACAAAACAAAAGAGCAGAATACTTATCAAAACATTCTTTATGGGGTTCCTGGGTGGCTCAGTTGGTTGAGCGTCAGACTTTGGTTCAGGTCATGATCTCGCAGCTCATGAGTTCAAGCCCCACATCGGGCTCTGTGCTGACAGCTCAGAGCCTGGAGCCTGCTTCGGACTCTGTGTCTCCCTGTCTTTCTGACCCTCCCCCACTTGCACTCTGTCTCTCAAAAATGAATAAACATTAAAACAAATTAAAAACAAAACAAAACAAAACAAAACAAAACGTTCTTTATATTGACAAAACATTGGAACCAAGGTAAATGTCCAATAAAGAAGTGAACCTATGTGACAATATATTAAGTAATTAAAAATAATACAATTCTATGTGACACAGAGGCTGTTCACCACTCAGTAAGCAAAAGAAGCAGGATTTACAAAATATGAGATTACAATTGAATTCTGTTAAAAAGTAAAGATACACCAAATGCCACAGCGTCTGTCTCCGCATGGTAGGATCATGGGTGATTTTGTTTTTTATTTTGTCTTCATATTTATTTTTCTTTTCTAAAATGAATCCTACTACCAGAAGAAATATCTAAAATGCTGTCTCTGCTATTTATGGGGCTTAGGTGAATTCTGTGTAGCTCTGAACAAAAACCAAACCAAGTGGGAAGATTCCATGGAAAGCTATTTCAGTTCCATATAAGAACCAGTGAGGTACCTACATGTGCTCATGGCTTCCAATGAAAATGGTGTTCACCAGGGACTGGTGAATGCCCTATTAGTGATTATGTGGACAGGAGTCTGGTTTATGCACACTGGGAGGTTGAACCCAGCTGCTTTCCAATTTTAAAACTCTGTGCCATTTGATTTTACAACGAATTTAACAGACACCACCTTTCATTTCAAAAGCCCCTTTTATGTTTCAAAGCACTTTCACATATGCTGGTTTATATTCCTTTCAGTACTTTTTTTAAAAAAAATCCTGTCTGCACAACAATTCTATAGAGTAGGCAAAGCAGTTATTATCACCTCTATGTTACTGAAGACAAAACTGAGGTAACCAGAGAGTGATCTCGCAATGTTATGGATGAGCTAATAGAGCTCATCTCCTTTCTCTTGACTCACAGCCCTACCTCTCTGTCCTCTAACACCACATAGCCTCTCTCTTCCCAACCAGGGTTTGGAAATGGTTATACTTCACCTAAAGTTGTTTACATGATGCCTGCCAGTTGAAAGAAAACCAACAATGCTTGACACAGAGTGACAGTAAGTATTGATAGGGATATACCCAACTTTTTGTTTCCACTAACTTACATTGACTCAGTTAATGTCAAGTAACCAACATGTCACCTCAGCTTAAAAAGTCAAGATTGGTCAAACCAGTTGGTTGCCTTGAATAGCCCAGGAGGCTCATGAATCTAGTTGGGGTTGTTGGTCAATATAACTACCCTGTACCTGTGTCCCCACAGTCCCGGGACAGAGCCCATAAGTGGGGCTTCTGGGCCAGTTAAATAGTGAATAGGGTCCATATTGGACTTAATGAAGCAGGGCTTTGTTACTTTTACCAAAGGAATTAACAGAGGAATTCTGTATTTATTTTGCAGTGGCAGAAGATTAAGCACTTGAGCAATAATGTGGCAATTCACCAAAAGAGGTCTTAGTTAGGTGCTATCTGAAATCATGAAATTAAGTGGGAAAACATACACATGGAAAAGGTTTATATGTTTAAGAAAAATAAATCCAAATTTTAGATAAATGATACTCTTCACAAAGTATACTAAACAAATGACATATTTTCATTGGCTGATAGCGTCATTTATACACATATATCATTTTCCATGTGCCAAGCCCTCCTGAGTGCCTCTCCTCTCAACCACTCCATGAAAGTCATTATGGGAGGAAACAGAAGGGTCAGCAATGTTAAGGTCATTTCCCCTAAACCATACAGCCGCCAAGTGGAAGCTACAGGATTCCAACCTAGGTCTGATGATTGCCAAACCAAGATGCTTCACCATTATTTGTTCTCTGGAAACGTTGAAAGTATAAGAACTTTTTATAAACAGGAAGTAATGGAAGTCTCCTTCAAAAGGCATAATAAATCACTCCAGGAGATACAGAGTTAATCTGAGAATAGCTGGAGAACAATGAGAGAATCTAGGCTGAACTTTATACATCACAACATACAAGGAGGCAGAAAGTGGGACTGGTGAATGGAAAAGAATAAAGGCTGATGGTATCAATGTACTGTTATTGTTAATAAATTATTGATCAAGCCAGTAATGTCACAGATGTTTAAAATACTTTTCTTCTTAGCTATGTAAAATCCACTTTTCACCTTTAATCTATTCACTCATTCAATAAACAATTACTGAGCATTTACCATATGCTAGGAACTGTTCTAGGCAGTATGATAACCACAGTGACTCAAACTGATGAAAGTTCCAGGCTTGGTGGAATTCACATAAGCTCCATGAGAAAATAAGATAGTAGAAAGGGAACCTGAGGTAGAAGATTGTGGTTTTAATCCTGGCCAGATGGCCTTAAGCAAATTACTTGAAATCTCGCTAAATATCAGTTCCCTTACTTCTAAACTGAGGATAATAATATCTATTTTTATCACATATTACTTTATTAGGAAAAAGGCGAGTTTATACAGGAAAAAAACTACTTATTCTTTGGTCTTGGAGAAACTGAGGTAGTTGACAAGGAATAAAAGTTTTGTCCTCATTATTAAATCCTTCAAAATATTTCATTCCATATTTTCCATGATCTAAGCTTTCTGTGTTTAATGTTAACCATGTGTAAGACTTGTGGGGTCAGGATAAGGTCATGCTTTATACCTAGCCACCAATTTCAAAGTCTATGTTACAGGCTTAAGATGCCATAATTATGTATGTTTCCCTTACTGTGGAAGGAAGTTAAATTTAAATTATATCTTAGTGATCATTTCATCTTAACCTATAGAGAGATGCTGCTTCTTGCCTACTTCTTTAGGAACAGATCCAGAGCAAGTGATTATTTCTAAAACCTTTGAGTAATTTTCTTTCCTCTGTTCTTCCATGGTGATATTATTTCATTGTAAGAATGAAATAAGAGCTAGGTAGAGATGGGTGTGTCATAGGCCCACAGGAAGGATCACTGCTCAGCAGGAGGCCACACTTTATTGATTAAATCAAAGAAAGATTGGTTCCAGTGTCCCCCTACCCCTTACCTACCCTACCCTCGGGTGAGGAGGAGGAAGTAGCAGGGGGATTTCCAAGTGCATTTTTATCAGCCCAGCAAATCAGAGTCCTTGCTTTCTAAACAAAGAGGTGCCAACCTTGAGACTCTATGAAAGCCAACACAAGCTATGCATTGTACACATGTGAAAAGAATATAATTAGCAAAGTTATAGTCACAATTAGGAAATACCTCCTCAGAAAGGTTTCCAATTAACTTTGAGCAGCACTCAAATTACTATTGTGCTTAACTAGGCCTCTGTCTCTTAGCCAGCTCAAACCTTTGAGACAAATCTAAGAATAACAGCGCAGTCCTCAAAACACAGACACACAAAATTTAATGCTGGACTTTTTTTGAATAACAAATATGAAGAATGTGCAAATTGGGACATGGAAGCTATATTGAAAGAATAAGAAGCATGGTTACAGAAATGAATAGTCAAGTGTTGGCTAAATTATTCTTCCTTCAAGCTCTCTCTTCGTCTTCTCTAGCCTTCCCTTCCTCATCCCGAAAGAAAAGTTAAGGAAAGAGAATGTAGGAAAACAAAAATGGGTACTCACTTCATCTCTAGGATCTCCTCCAGTTGTTTTCTCCTTTCTATTCGGAGGTTAGCCAAATGGGCTTCTTTTTCAGCCAGGGACTGCTGTGTAGAGGCTAGGCGTGCCTTGGTGGCATCTAGTTCCTGTCTGGTCTTCTCCAATGCATTCATCAGTTCCTCTATCTGAAAGGTACAGGGAACATGGTGCATTATTTCTCCTTCATTCAAGCACAAGGCCTTCTTTGCAAGTCTGTATTCTGACAACACACACAAAGGAATCATAGCCATTCTTGAACAGGTACTGTAACTTAGAGCCCATTCTTTCTTTGTCACTGGTTGAAAATAAATGTTTCAAACACAAGAAATATGCAAATTTCTCCAAGGTCCTCTTTCAATTGGATTGTCCAATAACCTTTATAGAAACTATTTAATATATTTATTAGAAGTAGAAGGTAACTGCCTTGACCCATTTTCAACCTGTGTTTGGCAAAAGTCTCAGATACTGCCTCACAGTTGGCGGAAGGCAACGCTCAAAATGCATTTGCCCAGCACAATATACTTTTGTGTGTAGGCCCCAGAGTATTCTGACAGGAAGTTAATCTATGTGTTTCAGATTCATTCATGTTTTAACCTATCAAAACCTTGTTTGGCAAAAGCGATTTGATGTCCAAGGGGCCTCAGGAGCCCCCTCTCACCTCACATCCCTGCCTCACTTTCAGGAAGCAAGGTTTGGCCAAAGGTAAACAGAATTCCAGCCACAAAAGGTTCAAGTTTGATTTGCCCCTGAAGTTTGAGAGGGTTCTAAACTTGAAATAAATGACATGTAACTTTTATAGGGTGCTAATACACCATAGAAATAAGCCAGACTATCAAATATCCAGGATTTTTAGCCAGGTCCCAAAAAATTGGACCAGGGAGCCCCAAGGCAAGGCTTTATCCTCCCCAAGCCATTGGGGGCTTTTAAAAGCCAACACACAACAAAAAGGGCTGGTGTTTATGGTTCTGCACCAGAGACTTCCGTGGAGCAAGCCAGTGAAATGCCATCCCTTGCACAGATGCATGCCGCATCCACCCTGCTGATTTAAAACCATGGTTCCAGGAAGTTTCTAGATTCCAGAGTTGATGTTTGGGTTTCTAAGCCACCCTCCTTCCAGCTGAACTTGGCAGAATGGGATCATCCATCACTAAAGTCAACAGAAAGCCCTTCAAAATGTGTCAATGACATGTTAAGTTCCAATTCATAAAGACTTTCTACACAATTTCTTCAGTTTTACATGGAATTTACTCAGAATAAGCATTATATTTCACATCCAAGGTAAATCACATGCTTTTAAGATTCAGAAAACCCTCCATTTTCCCTGATAAAAAGAGGAATTTGATAACCATAGAATGTAAATCAAAGCCAAAACCAAAAAGAGTTTAAAAAGCAAGGAATATGAGGATTAACCATGAAAGTCCCAGAACTACACCTGCTTAATTGTAGAATAAATAGTATTATTATTTAACTTTAGAAACATACAAAATTTAAAAAGCAATCATAATTTGTTTCTCATATAAATTTATAGAATATTATAAATATGACTAGCAGCCCTTCTATCAAGAAGTGCTTGGTGAGACTGAAGCAGGTTTTTTTCCTCCTTTCCCTCCGCCCCCATTTTTGATAGCAGTGTAAAAAAATATCAGAATTATGGTCATTCCAAGTACCAACAAATATTCAGTCTGTCTAACCCTCTATGGGATAGCCTGTGTCTTCATGTCCCTGTTTCCTTTCATAAATTGCTCTCTATTCAAATGCACTATCGATCCCAGAGAACAGGGAGAGTATCCAGGATTCTCACTTGCTAAATCTCTCTCTCATGAAGTTGAAGCTGACCTGTCTGCAATCCATAGACACAGAGCTACTCAACTGGGTTTCCCAGTTCTTAGTTCACCTGCTACCATACTATTTGGGGCCAGCCCCAGCTAATTTTATATTAACCCAATTGTAACAATTACACCTTAAAGTAATGACTTGCAGACTTCCCTGGCCATTTCAGCAATAACCACATAGAGAAACATGGGCACCTAAGAGATGCAGTCCAGCATTTGTACTGATGGAGATGCCATTGGCTTCCAGCATCAATAACTCCTAGTGTGAGGTGAGACTCCTATTCTCAACAGCTTGCACCAGAGTCTCCAACAGTTTCCCAGGCCAAGGTTTCCCACTCCTCCAAATTCACATACCCCAGACCAGTGAGCATGGCACACTGAGGACCACTGGGGCTACTGGTGTCAGGTACATAGTTCTAGTCTTCACACAGACACTGTTTCTCCCTGTGATTCTGTACAAATGACCACTTGATTCTTTGAGCTGCAGCTTCCTAGGTGATGCCCATGATACCTCCTCTCCTAAATGCCTGGAGTTCTGCAAACTATTTCCCTTGCTACCACAGCGGGAGCTTTAAAAAGAAAGAAATATTTTCCCTGTTGTGGCTCACATATTCCAGTTCTCCTTCTTTGGGGCACATGGTAGGGCCACACTCCCCTCTCCCTTTTTTTTAAAATTTATTTTAATTTAATTTTTTTTAATATATGAAATTTATTGTCAAATTGGTTTCCATACAACACCCAGTGCTCATCCCAAAAGATGCCCTCCTCAATACCCATCACCCACCCTTCCCTCCCTCCCACCCCCCACCAACCCTCAGTTTGTTCTCAGTTTTTTAAGAGTCTCTTATGCTTTGGCTCTCTCCCACTCTAACCTCTTTTTTTTTTCCTTCTCCTCCCCCATGGGTTTCTGTTAAGTTTCTCAGGATCCACATAAGAGTGAAAACATATGGTATCTGTCTTTCTCTGTATGGCTTATTTCACTTAGCATCACACTCTCCAGTTCCATCCACGTTGCTACAAAGGGCCATATTTCATTCTTTCTCACTGCCACGTAGTACTCCATTGTGTATATAAACCACAATTTCTTTATCCATTCATCAGTTGATGGACATTTAGGCTTTTTCCACAATTTGGCTATTGTTGAAAGCGCTGCTATAAACATTGGGGTACAAGTGCCCCTATGCATCAGCTGTTTTCCAGAGTGGCTGCACCAGTTTGCATTCCCACCAACAGTGCAAGAGGGTTCCTGTTTCTCTGCATCCTCTCCAGCATCTATAGTCTCCTCATTTGTTCATTTTTGCCACTCTGACTGGCGTGAGGTGATATCTGAGTGTGGTTTTGATTTGTATTTCCCTGATGAGGAGCGACGTTCAGCATCTTTTCATGTGCTTGTTGGCCATCCAGATGTCTTCTTTAGAGAAGTGTCTACTCATGTTTTCTGCCCATTTCTTCACTGGATTATTTGTTTTTCGGGTGTGGAGTTTGGTGAGCTTTTTATAGATTTTGGATACTAGCCCTTTGTCCGACATGTCATTTGCAAATATCTTTTCCCATTCCATTGGTTGCCTTTTAGTTTTGTTGATTGTTTCCTTTGCTGTGCAGAAGCTTTTTATCTTCATGAGGTCCCAACAGTTCATTTTTGCTTTTAATTCCCTTGCCTTTGGGGATGTTCCCCTCTCCCTTTTAACTGGGATGGGTCTTTGGCCAATAAAATAATGTCATTTCCAGGTGGAAAAATTTAAGTGCTAGTACTCAACCCCAATTTTCCCTTTTCTCTGTGACTATAGAAGCATGTTTCAGATGACGCCTCCTTCAGCCTGAGTCCCTGAGTAACCACAATGAAGCCCAAAGCCAACCCACATCATACAAGCAAGATAGAAACCTTTGGTGCTATTTCGGAGGTACACATGCACCCCGATGTTTATAGCAGCACTATCAACAATAGCCAAAGTATGGAAAGAGCCCAAACATCCATTTTTGGATAAATGGATAAAGAAAATGTGGTATACATATACAATGGAGTATTACTCAGCAATCAAAAAAGAATGAAATCTTGCCATTTGCAACTATGTGGATGGAACTGGAGGGTATTGTGCTAAGTGAAATTAATCAGTCAGAGAAAGACAAAAATCATATTACTTCACTCATATGAGGACTTTAAGAGACAAAACAGATGAACATAAGGGAAGGGTAACAAAAATAACATAAAAACAGGGAGGGGGACAAAACAGAAGAGACTCATAAATATGGAGAACAAACTGAGGGTTACTGGAGGGGTTGTGGGAGAGGGGATGGGCTAAATGGGTAAGGGGCACTAAGGAATCTACTCCTGAAATCATTGTTTCACTATATGCTAACTAATTTGGATATAAATTTAAAAAAAATAAAAAATGAAATAAAATAAAAATTTTTTTTAAATAGTCTCTTGTAAACACAGGGGTCACATCCACCCTCATTTTCTTCAAACCAACTCTTCCCTTGGGTTCTCTGAAGCTCTCTTTTAGATTGGGAACCTACTTCCCATGTTTCTTTTGTAAATTCTTCATCTTCCTGTAGTCTATAATTGGATCCTTCCTCTTATTATTCATTACTAGAGACATTTTCTTCACCCATGTGGATTCTTAGGAGGAGAATTGAGGTCTGTCTCCACAGCTCTCACCTATATGCAGATACCTTTCCAAACTTTATCTTTTACTCACTTGACCTCTTTTACATATACCTAACCACCTGTTGATCACTTTGATTTGAATGTCCTAACATCATTTTATATTCATTATGATCAAAAGCCAACTCATGACCTATGCACACCTGCCTAAACCAAATCCTTATTACCCACTCCTGCCCTCCCAACCTGCCACTCCCTAACACACCCACAAGTCCAACACCCTAACCTTTTCTCAGTCTCTCATGTTTAAGACCTCAGAACTACATTTGCTTCTTTCTTCTCTTTCTTCATTTATTTTCCATTTATTATCAAGTCTTAATAGCTCTATTTTGGAAACACTTCTGGGATCTATCATTTCCTTTTATCATTACTTCTGATGCCACAAGCTCAGGCCTCTTCCCCTCCCACATTTCTGGAGGGGTTGAAAATAATTGCGTGAGTGTGTGTATGTGTGTGTGTGTGTGTGTGTGTGTGTGTGTGTGTGTGTGCATGTGTGTCTGTTCCTAGCCTTTGTCTCTACCCCTACCCTAAATAAAGACATGGCTTTGCTTGATCAGCTTCTCCCCCATCATAGTATATCTCTCAGTGAGGTCCATTGCTGGATTTTAGGATGTGGAATTAGCTAATGGGTAGCAAAGTAAACTTGAGA